TGAAAGTTCAAAGTCACATACACATAAAACATCTGAGAACTAAAATGTCCTAAAGTCCACAATTGGAGGCATGTATTACAAGTCAACAAACAATCTCTTCTTTACTTCCAAGCTACCTTTTAAGAGGCTAGATTAATGATTAACTTTAAGCAGAGTGGATCCTTCAGAAATATGTGATGCTTCATCTCCTTCATCCTTAGAGTGGGATGGCTTAAGAGAATATCTTCGATGCAATTAATCACAAACAATTAATCTAGGAAAGTTTCAGGAAACAAGATAAGGATATATCATCGTGTATTTAACATCTTGGTACATTACATTCTTAGCATTGCAAAACAAACTTAGCACTATGATTTCAATACAAGTTTAATTCTGGAGATCACGTTGTCTTCAGTGCCAATTAAAGTTGCACCCAGCAACTTCGAGCCCACATCATTTGCATTTTAAAAAGGATTCCAAGTCACGGTAAGACAATTAAAAGTTTGGCCTTTGAATGAAGAGCTTGGATCTCCAATTTATAAACATTAGGTTGCCATGGAATCTTAAATTTTAATATTTAAGCCATACTGAATATGCAAACACATTATTTTTTCAGCTCGCAAATAGAAAAACAAAAAAAAAAAAAAATCACAATCCAATGCATTGAAATTGATCCCATCTCCCTATAATTACATATTAGAAGTGCAGAAACAATTCTAAAAATGTAAAAACCCAAAGCAAGTACCACTGTACAAAAACATAAGCAAGCATTTTCTTGAAAAAAAAGGAAGAAAAGAAATAGGAAAAGTTTATGTACCCTGGCACGAATGAACTCTTCAACACGGCCATTGGAGAACCTGGCAAGCAATCTAGGCCCCTGACCCTTCTGAGACATAAACTCAAACGTCTTGATCTCATTCTCCCTATCAAAGAAGATATCCACCCCTTTACCATAAATCCTCACGAGCACTTTCCTGGATCGCTCGTGAGTAGTGGGCCATTTTATTTGAAAAACTTCGTTAGTCATAGCCCCCTTAAGTGGGATCACCTGCAATTGATCCGGGTTGATCGTATCCTCCCATTTTGAAGCCAGTGCTCTCAAGATCTTCTTGGCCTCTTCAGGAATGCAATCATTGTTGTTGCTGCTGTTCTCTGCAGGCGAATTGGATTGGTTTTGGAAAGAGCCCATTATTGGGGGTAAAGAGGTGCTTTTTCTTGGGATTTTTCTCAGGGTGGTGGGTTCGTTTGTGGGAAATGGAGGGAGAAAGGTGGCTGGTGGGAGGAAATTTTGGAAAGGCCGTTGTGGAGATTGGTCATGGAAGAGTATTGAATTTGGAGTCAATGGTGCTGCCGAGTTGGGCAGTTTGAAAAGGACACGTTGCGACATTCTGGGGAGAGCGACTGGAGCATCAGCATTGCACGTGCGGCTCACCCCAGAAGCGCGAGGCGCCAGCAATGGACGCGAGGCAGTGCGGTCGATCTGATAACCATTTAATTAAATGGCGTAACATTTTTTTTTAACGTTTTATAATTTTATATAAATTTCTTGTATATTATTATAACAGAGATCTGATATTTTATTACTATTCATGTGAATTCTATATGTAATAATTGTGTTTCTGTTGTTAAATTTTACAAATAGTTCATGTAGAGTTACACTTTATTCAAAAAATGTTACATTATTTCGAACGGTTGTTACTGACAACTGTCCAGACCCCGAATCCGCCCAAATCAAATGAATGGTGTAAGCAATGACACAACAAATGTAAGACTCATAAATACTTTTTGGACGATGTGTAAAAATATAACAAATTTTTTTACACAAATTTGTAATAATGTGTAAAAACATAACAAATTTTTGGGCACAAGTTTTAATGAGAAAATTTGTTGTATTTTACTAACATTTTATTGTGTAATCGTCTAGTATATTATATTGAATTATTCTGATAGTATCTATGTTGTAGGGCAAAATTGACGTAGGCAATTGTAAAAGTTCTTGATCCAAATGGCAAGGGAGTAGGCATCCCTAGGCAACAAAGGCATAAAAGTGAACCATGTACAAATTGGATCATTGCATTGTACAATGTAAATATTGACATAACAGAAGTAGGCAATATATATGCCAAAATATGTGTGTATAAAGACATACGCACGCTATGATAACAACCGTCCAATTTGTATCCAAAACTCAATCCTAACCGTCCAATTTCAATTTTATTCATTTTTCACCATAAATTATTTCTGCAATCATTATTGTGATTACAGAGAATATATAAAAATGGTTTACAAATATGGGTCTTCTAGGATAGAAAATTCTTTAGAAAAATTTTATAGAATAATATAACAGTATTTCTATGGTGTGATGTTTATTAGGTGATACAAAAGATTGAAAAATATATTTATGATATAACTAAAAAAATAATTTGCAAAGAAATGACTACTTAAAAATTTAACACATTGTTAGTTATTACAAATAACTTGTATAACTTCATTAGGGACTAAACTTCAAATGCTAAATATTAAGGACTAAAATTACATTTTTTTTTCCATAAGTCTTAAGGACTATAATAATTATTTATGTTTGTAGTGAAAGTGCAAAAGTAATAAAGTGATAAAGATCTTTTAGAAACATAATTTTTAGAAATTTCACCAGTTAAATGGAGTTTCAAGGTGTTGAATTCCGTAGTACCTTGTCAGGATCATCGGTGTTTTCTCCGTGTCAGAGTCATAGTTGACCGAATTTTTTTCAAAACACGAATATTCTGAGAAATTAGCCTAGTAAATGAGTTAAGACTTGCCAAAAGCTAGTTTGGAGGAGTGAAAAATGATCTCCAAATTGCATGAATTAGGCATACCCTCCAAGGTTTCTTTAACTTGCAAAATCTCTTTAAATTTTCAGACTTACATGGATTATTGATGACTTAAGAACTATTTGTGTTGAATAGTTTGCCCATTTTTTTTGCCAATCTTATAAGTTAACCTTCTTTTTTTTCCCTGAAAGTAGGTTTAATCTTGAATACCAGATATTATTCGGAGGAAAATTGACTTGTTTTTAACATTGGCAGCATGCAATCCCTCAAAATTTATAGACGGAATGATGTCTTAACAACGAAAGAATATTCAAGAAGATAACAACTGCAGTATATACCTTCTTCTAGAAAAGAATATTCACCAAAAGAACGACAAAATTAAGTGGCATAAATCAAAAATTCCTAAAGAATACGCTTCTTCGAGATGCAAATTATAGTGCTAAAGTTATGTATAAGAGTATGGACAATCTGCAGAATCCTTATCATGCTGTTAGATGACTCAAAAATGGAAAACTGCCACATTCACAAACACTCAGATTCCTTGATGTATGGTACCTGAGTCCTGAAAATATGCTGTTCTTGTCCTAAAATGCCCGTTAAAGAAGATGCAGATATATACCTTATGGCATGTCCTATCAAGAACTTGCATTGAAATTAGGGATAATTGCAGAAACCTCCCCTGAGGTTTCTGATACTTGCACTGACCTCCCCTCTAGGTTTAGAAATTGCATTCAGCACCCCTGAACAGGAACAATTCGTTGCAGAAACCTCCCCTGAGGCTTGATGTCCCATTAAAAAATTATTTGTAGAAGTGAGATAAGAAATTTCTTTCAATTTTACCCCTAATCTTGCTTGACAATTAGTGTTAACAAAGGAGGGGCATAGGCATTAAAGATCAAGCAAGTTCAGGGGGTATAAATGCAACATATTTTTCATTCCAATATCTAGTTTGGTTTGATGAGTGTTTCGGAATTAAATGTAATTAAATTTCAAATTTATCCCTGATATAACAATTCTTATAAAACAAAAGAATTACACATACGACAAATTAACATCTCCATAATTGTAACTACAATAGTTATTAACTTTTTTGATAAAATATAAGAAAATCATAAACCATAACAAAAATTAATACTAGAAAATAAATATAGTGGTTGTATTAATAAGGAGTAAATTTCCAAAAAGAGAGAGTTTTTAAACTAACTTTTTAAAGAGTGGCGATTTTTGAGTCTCTTCCCAAAGAGTGAAAAAAGCATCGAAGGAATGCGTTCTTCCAAATAAAAATGCAACTTTCAAATACGTTATTTGAATTTTCATAAATTTGTTTAAATATGAAATTAGTTAATTAGATAAACAGAAATTAGTTAATTAGTTAATTAATTAATTAGATAATTAGTTAGTTAATTAGTTAATTAGTTTAACATACAAATAGTTTGTTAGTTTCGGATAGACAACAGCTTTATTTAATTAGTTAATTAGATAAATAGAAATTAGTTAATTAGTTAATAGTTAATTAGATAATTAGATAATTAGTTAATAGTTAATTAGATAATTAGTTAATAGTTAATTAGTTTAACTATGCAGAAATAGTTCGATTAGTTAATTAGATAATTAGTTAATAGTTAATTAGTTAATTAGTTTAACTATGCAGAAATAGTTCGATTAGTTAATTAGATAATTAGATAAATAAAAATTATTTAATTAGTTAATTAGATAATTAGTTAGTTAATTAGTTAAGCAGTTAATTAGTTAATTAGTTTAACATGCAAATAGTTTGTTAGTTTTGGACAGACAACAGCTTTAGTTAATTAGATAATTAGTTAATTAATTAATTAGATAAACAGAAATTAGTTAATTAGTTAATTAATTAATTAGATAATTAGTTAATTAGTTAATAGTTAATTAGATAAATTAGTTAATAGTTAATTACTTAATTAGTTTAACTGTGCAGAAATAGTTTGATTAGTTAATTAGATAAATAGAAATTAGTTAATTAGTTAAATACAATTGGGGGTACTCTAGTAAATTCACACATTTTTACCTTTTAAATTGACTCCAACTTTTTCTAGGGGAGGTTACTGCTATTTCAAAATTGATAGGGGAGGTCAGTGCAAATGTCAGAAATTTCAGGGGAGGTTTCTGCAATTTTCCCTTGAAATTATTACATGTCAAAAATAGAAGTTCTCATAGGCAAAAAGAAACACACACACATTTTAAGTGAATTGATTTTTTTTCCCCTTTAGCAAAGACAAAATTATCTCATATCCGGTAGCTGAAGGCTCATAAACCCTTTTCAGTGCAGAGAGGTTATCTATACATGCTATACATCATTGACAATATCAAATGTATGAATAAGTCTTAACAGGGACAAAATACTGACAGAGAAAAGGGGTGGCGGGGGTTGTAAGCTGCTTAAACTTCCTGCAAGGGATTGTGGCCAAACGAACTTGAAATTTCTGTATTTAGATGTTTGGCACCAGTGTAGATCAGGCATAAATCTTTGGTCAATTTGAAACCTCAATATATTCTTCCAAGAGTCGCTCAATCGTCTTGCGAGATGTGACTCTGTCAACTTCAAATGCTTTCATCTCCTCTCTTAGATCTGCACAGCCATAAGATAAAGATCTCATTCAATGCAGAAAGTAAAATGGACGACGCATACCTAACTATGCTTATCCAACTTTCAGAGACAGGCAATGAGCGGACTGCAAGATCATTTCTAATTTGTAACAAGTGATTGTGTGAGTATGAGAGTTTGGCTTGCTTTAGTTATAGCGCTACGGCATGGATAATATTCACTTCCATTATGCTAAACCTATTAGGAAAAGTTGGCTTCCTCAGTTACTTGTGCAGCTGCATAACATGATATTAGGCAAGCAAACCCCATATTTGACTTGTTTGGATCTCTTATACTGTATCCTCATATGAATTAACATGGAGAAGTATGAAGCCAATTTCATATAAGGTGAGGTGCGTTTTGATACACAGGATCCTCAAGCTACTTCTATGTTTCAAAATAGAGTGCATTTAAAGATAAAGTAGCAGGATTTTGAGATTGGACAGAATGAAAACTAGGACAATAAAAGTGGGCACTCTGACTGGCACAGTTTTTCCTGCCAAAGGAAAGCAAAACTATTAGCAATAGAAGGTAACAGTTTGACTATAGCATGACACTGAGATTCAGCAACAACAAATAACGGGCTGTAGTTCTGTGAGCAATAAAATACGTTTCCCGCCTTGCAGGAAAATAAATCTTGGTAGACAAAGCTAAGTCTCTAGTCCCTAGTAGTGTGCCAGATGAAATTCAATCTATTAAATTTAACGCCTAACACAGTCAGTGCCACAATTTCCTGATTCTGCCAGTTCAATATAGTTGACAAACATTTTGAAATCGTTAACATCATATGCGCACATATGATGCAGCTATGAACGGCACATCAGAGCACAATAATGGAGGGGAAAAATTTTTAACCTTGCTATCAATGTTAGCTTTCTATTCCAACCAAGTCCGATAGGATTTAGCCTAATCCTTTTGTCTGGTTACAAAGTACTATAAAAGCACAATATGCAGGTTCTCAAAATATTTGACACATACTGTATATGATATCAAGTCTAGACATCAGAGCAAAACCAAATTCATCACGGAATCAAGTTTGCTTAAAGACACAGTGAGTGGAAACTTGAAAATCTTGTATATTTGGTACTGGATACACTTCCACACATGTTGGTAGTATGCTGATGTTTTGTAGTGCATATTATTCGCAGTTGAGTACTAATCAGATCCACATCAGCAAACTCACCTGGATGATGCAAAATTTTAAGCGGCAGGTCAGGAGCACTTGATTTCATAAATTGGATCAGGTTTTTCAGGAGTTCAACTGATTCAGCTGAGACCAGGATTTCCCTCTGAATTGCAGAAAAATTCAAGAACTCAGTACATCCATCAGCAAAAAGGTATCATTACAACAATTGAAAACACATTAAGACCATCTAGAAATAATGCATAAAAATTGCAGAAGGTCTCCAACAACTAACAACTCCCTATGTCTAGAAGGTTGTCACTTCCTGAGTTCCTGTCATTTCTTTTTCATTTGTCTTGAAGCAAAAAAAAAAAAAAAAAAAAAGAGTTACGTGATGTCAGCAGAAACATCTCCCTCCAAAGTAGGCACAAGTCATGGCCTACCTTGATGCAAGCCATATTTGCTAAATGCCTGCGATGCGTGCAACATGATCTAGTAGGAGGCATAAAAGAAAATGCAGAAAAACACTACTCCAACCTTAAAGTTCTTCTCAGCATCGTGATATCCAGAAACAATTAGGAGGAGGGAAAGTTTCTCCAAGCCTGCAGTTAAGAAAGAGATTGTGATGATTCAAAAAACTTAAAAAGCTTTACTATTTCTAGAGTGACGCATTTACTCAGTTGACCGTGAGTATCTCAAGTTTCAATCTTTTAACAGGTAAGATGATATACAATAAATAGGGTTTCAATTTCAAGACGTCCTGTAAATTCTTTCTTTAGCTATCTAGGATAGGCGCTGCAGATCATGAGATAGATGCAGTGATGAACAAAAACACCAGAGGAACATTTATTATACGCCATTCCCCAGAAGCAATCCCAACGCTAGAAGTAAAAATAGCTGATTGAATGGTCAATATTACAAGAAATATGGACATGCTAATTGCTAAGTTTGGACAATGGATATCAAGAAAATTGGACAAAGCACATCAAGGGAAAAATGGTTAAAAAGTACTAAACAACAATTGAATGATGATAAGCACGGGGCAATAAAAAAATTTTGATTAACAATTGACCGAAAAAATTGGAAAGGGAGATTAAGCAAAAGCGTGTAACAACTAAACAGGTTCTGAATCTAGTACGGAATGAGGCCAAATCTTACGCTGAAAATGTGAAATCTCCAGATTTGAAGTTGAATCAAGTGAAAGGAGCTGTGCAATTGATATTCCAATTGAACTCATCCCAATGTTTAACACCGTCAATCTAGAGTTACCACTGATTAGTTTACCTGCTTCAACAGAATTTTCTGGTTAAATGATATGTACAAGTCTATTGAAAGCAGGAACCTAGGAAGCCAAATATGCATAGTAGCATAAATTAATGAATTATGCAACAAGAATTCACCAGACAGGTGAATTAGTTATATAGCTTAGTCAGCTGTACTCTTAACATAACTTCAGGAACATTTACTCTTTTTATCCAGTGGAAAATATATGCTTCATATTGGTTAAAGCTAGGGAAGCAAAGATGCCCTAATAACTTTCTGTGGCCTTGGCATTCCAACAAAAGGACTCATTTACGTATTTGGTCATTTCAAGAACCCTAACTTGGCTTCTCAAATTTCAAAAGCAGCAATTTGAAGCATTTTTTAGTTTATCTGGAAGAACAGAAGTCCTTTAGGAAACTGTATATTGAGGCCTTCATAATACAAGACCTTAGACTGCAGCCGCATCGGCTTATTTTTCATTTTTTTTATGAGTGAAGAATATTCAAGAAACCAATTATCTAATTCCTATAATTAAAAGTTATTATCCAAGGGAAAGTAAATTTTGTTCTTTGTATAGTGCCTCAATTAATTGACATAAACAAGCCTTATGTACCATTAGGGGGAGAGGCCAGAAAGAGAGAGGGGGATGGGGAAGTATTAGAGCTGGAGAATAGTCTTCAAAATCTCTGAACCCCCACGTATCTTACTAGGAAATTAGTGTCCATAAATGTATTCGTATCAAACAATTCATATGATTATGAAAATACCACTACCCTATTAATATTGTGTTAAACGTGATTCTAAATTTCCCAATTTCATCCCATAAAACATTGCAAAACACCTGTCTTCTATTTACAATATTCTAGCCCATGTATCCAAGACTGCAAGACATTATTATTGACAATTTAAGGGATTCAAGCTAATATTGCAATCTGAGGCCTATTTCATATACTTTCCAGCTAAAAGGTACTATTGCAAAGAAAGAATTAGCTATACAGAGTCTTTCCCAGACAAAGTTTCCTAAGTTTGCTCATCACGTCCTGAGTTGAGGCAGTGAAGTCTACAAATGGAGTTTAATGTAAAAAATTTTATGAATCCAAAATGGAACATGTAAGGAACTCTGAAACCACACCCAATACCTTTATGCAGTTAAAATTAGTCAGGAGGGATGTGCTGACCCATGCCGGATCTTTTAAGATGTTAATAGCTTTGAATGTCAAAATACTTAAACATTATGGCTGAAGGGAATAGTATTTGGGCAGAATCTAAAGGTTGAACAGAAAAACTCTGCAGTAGAATTAGGGGAAAAAAAGAGAAAAAGAACAAAAAAAGAGGAGGAAAACTTAAAGATCACATGGAGGATTACTCATACATCACAATTACGGGTAGGAATCATCTATCAAACTCAAGAAGATTTCCAATTTGTAGGAAATGCTTCTGAAGCTGAACTGTGAAAGTATCTATGAGTAGTTAAAACCTTCTTTTAACTCAAAAGAGTTCATTGGTAAACATTCAGATAAACAAACTCAGTTGTTGCTCCAAGATGATATTGCAAATGTTCAAACACTATAATCTGAGCATCGACTCTGCCAACATAAGATGCCAATGCAAGAACTTGTCCAAATCAGTTCTAGATTCATGTTAAAACTCAAAATTGGAGCCAAAGATGCTGAGTTACAAATGTAGTAATATTAAGTTACGATGACATAAATGGTACATTACTAAAATATTTTTGACAGCTTAAAACCCAAAAATAATTAAAGTTTATAGAAGCTCAATCTCTAGAAAATAAATATTTAACAAAGACTTTTAAGATGAATAATTTGAGCTTTTCAGTCGAAAATACAATGCATGTGTTAATATTTGAGGCTCTACACATGTTTAGCATGCTTTTGAGGCTCTACACACGTTTGCTATTGATAGACCATAGCCAACTAACACTGTCTTTTTGTATCAGGCGAGGTCCTTCAAACATGGAGGACAAGAGCTTTGTTTAGCAAATGATGCATTGTGAGGTCAGTAAATTGTTATCTCCAATCTCAACTTGATACATTTACAAACTTGGTACTCATAATATACAATGGTATCTCTTAATAGGTTCCACATTGCATGTGAAGAGGATACTATCTCATCTTCTTTTCATATTACCACATTCATACAGTCAATGAACAGAAACAGAGTTAAAATACTATACTTCACCAGTTAATGGCAGTAGAGAAGCACAGGAAATAACCAAACCTATTTTTGTCCATTTTTTGATATCTTTCTGCAGGATTTCCCCAATGCTCAGTTCAGGTACATCATACATTTTGTATCTCACTGGAAATCATAAAAATTAAAACAAACTTTAGCCCTTTGCATTTTTTATGTATATAAATAAATTAAAAATATAAAGGAATGAGGTAAAGAAATATTATTTGAAGTAGAGGCTGTAGAGCCAAGGAAGTTTAGAGCATACAGATCTGGTAAAGTCCATTGCAACCATATCGACCGGCCCCATTAATCAACAAGGTTGCCATGTAGTTGTCTTTGGAAGTGGAAAGAGGACTTCTCAAATTCCCAGTATCCATAAGGATGCCGGCTAGCTGCATCACAGAGACCAAAGCAAAGGAATTAGAGGCATATCAAAGCTTTAAACTCAATATTTCCTATTTACCAGCTAAAAAGTCCATCAGTAAACAAGATGAGTAAAACTAATGGCCAAACTGTTTTGGTTGGGCAGAAGTAAGCAAGCACGGTTTCAGTTATAAGCATATCATCACAAAATGGATGTATGTCATGGCTACAAAATACCCAATTTCTGCATCTGAAGTTTACAGCAGAGATGAAGTAAATCACTTTTAGACCCTGAGTAAATGGTTAAGAAAACTCACGTATGAAATAAATTGTTACTGAACATAGGTCACTGCTTTTCACGTTTTGGTTCAAGAAAAATTAAAAGGATACCTAATCTTGTCATTGCAGCCTAAGCATTTGTAATCAAACAATTATCCAGAACAGTAACTAGGTAAAAAATATGAGCGGATATTTGACAATTGTATAAAAGAGAGTAAAAGAATAAATATCAAACATGCTGCATTCCAACAAATACTCCTAAAACGATGCTTGAGCAACAAGTTTCTTAAATAAAACTCAGTAGGGATGCTCAATTATTAAAGCATATAGTAGTTGCTACCAGAAGTCGGCTGAATCTTTGCCCAGCCAATATCTCTGGTGTGGTAAGCAGAAACTTTTCAGCAATAAGTGTAGAGCAGGATGCTTCCTGAATCATAAATCAACAATAAACACAGTAAAGTAAGTTAAATACAAAAAGCAGGTGGCTGAAATAATGAACTCTGGGTGTGTGCACAACTAGTAGATAATATGATGTGAAGCCAAAATTCTCATGGATGCAGTGAAAGCTCAATTGATTTAATTATAGTAAGGAATGCCAAACAGATATCATTCCTGAGAAAGCCCTTTTATGTTCAAGTATTTCAAATCAGTAATATTCATAATTATATACTTTATCTCCACACAAGTCACACAGCATACATGATTATGCATGATGATGCCTACTTCTAACACTTCATTTCAATTCATGAGTTTCTAGGCATTTTATTTCTTCAGTTGATTATAACTCATGAATTTCCCTTGACGTATAGTGGGAAAAATTTTGAAAGGAAATTCTTCTCAAGAGAGACACAAATAACTGCATCGCTCAGGCCAGAACAAGAATATACGCAAGTAGGCATAAATTTTTAGGTGCAGAGGGAGTTCAAATATGACATGAAATCCTTGAATCATGCAATTTATGATTTTACTAGATGATTAAAAAATTGTTTTTCTAACATGACCATGCAAAAAAAATTGTTGTTGTTATAACCAGATAAATGCAATCTCTCTTCACCACTTACTGAGAATCTGGTCTGAAAAGTGTATAAAACAAACCAACAAAGCAAGGCTCACACAGATACATTATTCTTCTGCGTTGCCATGGAGAGCTGAAACACACCAATTAAGTTTGCTTACGCTCTCTTCCAAAGGTTTTTCCCCTTATGTTAATATCTACTAGTCACACTTAAGTCTACCAACAATCTAGTTCATAAGAAAGTTAACCAGAACATTTGAAACAGTTAAAGAAACATGCGTGGTTTAATACTATGTGTAACTTTCAAGAAGCTCTCTTGACATTCCTATTATCTCTCTTGGGACAGAGAAACATCAATTTTAGTTAAACCATCCAAGTGGGCCATTTATTTGATAACTAGGCTCTGATCAATCTGTTGTACTTGTGTTTAAAGAAGAATAGTCATTATTACCAAAAGTTTTAAAAAAAAAAAAAGATATTTCTACTAACACGTCTGTCATGAAAACTATGTACATTCTGAGTCTATGTTGCGGTTAATTAGTCACATGAAATACAATATTTTCCTAGGAAAATAATAATAATTCCATTTAATACAATGAATTGCACAGGAAAATGCAGCAAAGCTCATTATAACTGATGCATTATAGGAATATATACTTCTTACCAGATAAGAGAAAAGTACGAAATACCAATTTTAGCATAGAGATTTGTGTGTTAAACATTTGGAAGCAAACAAGATGGAAAGATGTACTGATAGTTTAAAATGATAGTACCTCTCCAAATGTGGCATTTTTAACCCAAGAATAGCCATCATCATGCTGCGAAACAAGAAGACAAAATGTTGTAATACATTTTTTGACATAAAATTTTCAGTAATTAAACAAGACTTCTTCATGTTAACTCTAGCACAGCCATCTATACTACCTTTGAACAACTGAATATTTCAACCAAGGCTTCTTTTAATGCCTGTACCATAAAGAACACTTGTCATTCATTTCAACTAATTAAACCGTAAAGAAACAACAGACGCAGAATAAGAAACTTACTTCTTGTCTAGCAGGAAGCTTGTTGCAGTTCAGTAAAACTAGTTTAAGGCTTCCAAATAAATCATAATAGGATAAGTCAATCAGCTCATTATCACAAAACAAAAAAAAAATGTGACCTCAACTGAAGTAGTTTTATGTGAATGTTAAAGAAAAACAAATTGCAACTGAGTTAGATGCAAAATTTGGAAAAGGGGGTGGGGGGACAACAACAACAACAAAGAAGAGGTTTGGGTAATTTGACCTTACAACAAGAGAAAAGAGATATGAATAACAAGCCAACATGAAAGGGCAAATATACAGCTTAAAACAGGTTTTCAAATGCAATATTAAGATCCAGACTAGTAAGCCTATAAGTAAGACGTTTCATCTACTCCTACACACATTTTATCTATGCCTAATTTTGCAGATAGAAGATTTGCTACATACCAATTTTTTATAACATAAAACATTTAGATTTGAAATTGGTCTACGGGACAAACCTCATCAAGAAACACCAGTGATGACTGATCTACATGGCATGCATCAAGCAGCCATTTCAGCTCAGCTCGAGATTCCATGTCTGCCCTTGTCATGTTGATTATAGGCACAGTGCAGAACAGTTTGTTCTGTAACGATTCATTCAGGTAAAAGGCATACATGATTGTTGAAGCAACAGAACCAACATCTGCTTGTAGTAACTTTTCTAAATTAGAGAGATGTTCAACTAGTACCAGTTAACAAGGTAATTGGTTCATGAAGCACTTACGAACAACAAAGTGGCTATTTAATTATTTCCCTATTTGTGTAGTTCCTCTGATTAGACTTTGGAAATAGGATCACATAACTCTCTGAAGTATTTCTTTGATAACTCTATTGAACGTCATAGGTATATCAGAAAATATCTTCAATCACATAGATTAAGTTCCTCAGTTCAAACTTTATAAAATTCAAATTATCCACAAGCTTCAAAAGAACACGTTAAAATTGTATGTACAAAGAAATAAGTTACTCTGGTTACTAAGTCCTAACATTTGGATGGGGAAATGTTCAACATTTATCAGAAAGACACATATCGGGATTTTGAGTTTTTTTAACCGCATAGTTCTAATTCTTCCATGTCCTAGTTCATTAAAGATCACCTGGCCTCTACCGGAAGGTGTATGCTTAAGTATATCAATTAGATGAAGTGATGATTCTATACAAGGCTAAAAAGTCCTGGTATTGACAGTATGATATACACTCAACTGAAAATAATGGTTTTGCAATATCTTTTAAAACAAAGTATGATCACCATTCTGTGTAAAGCTATTATTATCAAATACGCTTCAAGACCAAAGTTATTATACAGGTGAACAAGAATTCATTGTTATAGCCAATTCTTCATAGTTGTGGCAAAAGTATAAGATGTGCGTTGTAAAAGAGAATTCTGGAATCTAATCTTTGTTGGAAGCATACTACTTACCACAGATGTCAGGTCCTATTACAGCATGCAAGAACCTTCCTGGCACACCAGCATTGACATCATCCTTTCGAGCTCTTAGATACATATTTAGCTTGTATATACTTTGACATGATTCAACAACTTCCATTTGTGGTGAATACCCATTGTAAAATAATGCTGCTGATGGAGGAAGTGGAACTTTAGAGAGATTTGTTCTATCCTTGTTCACGCTGTATGATTGTTCGATCATGGGCTTTGTAAGTGCCAGAGTTTGAGTCACTTCATTTGCTTGACTAGACTTTGGAGGGTGCTCTTTCTGTGACTCATTTACATCCTCAACTCCGAACTTCAGTGCCGACTGGTGTTCTGACAATGGAGATGAAGTAGCTTCAGAAATCCTTGACCATGTACTGGAAGCCGATCGACCATAATGTTCTAGAATAATATCTGAGGGTGAAGTTTTTAATGGGCTAGAGGGATTTTCTAGTACTTCACTTGTGATCTTTCTAGATCTTCTGGAACTAACATCTGAAGCAGTACGCATTATGCTTTCACCTGCAATCTTCTCATTCAAATTAAAATTACTACCTTTATCCATTATTTCTGCCTCTCCTCTTCTCATACCATCAAAGAAAGGATTATCCCGAGCACGAATATATGTTTCCTGACAGTAAACATTTAACAGATGACTAAGTAGAAGAACAAAGTTATTAGAGTTGTGAAATCATGTCAGCTCTACGTCAAGAAAAGTGAATCATAAAAAACTGCAAATTTAAGTCCTAGGCCAGCAAAATAAATTAATAAATAGAGATTTTCTGTGGCAGCTAGTATCAAGCTAAGCAGGAATAGTAATGTGGACTCAGAATGAACAGTCAAATGAAGGACAGTAATGTGGACTCAGAATGAACAGTCAAATGAAGGACTATTGAATAAAGTATCGAAGTAAAGATTTATAGCCCATGGAATAGCACCAGATGATAAAACTTCCAAAGAAATAGGAGGACTTCAAATTTTTCTGCAGTGGCTCATTGGTCTGATTATTACCTGACCTATCCAAAACCCACAAACAGGAGGCAAAAAGCTTCAACTAATAGAGGAACTTCAACAGATTCTCAAGGAGCAGTTTTGTATTCGGTTTGACATTATATAATGGCATATAACAATGGTATAGTACCTATATAGGCACAAGCCACTACAGAAAGATGAAAAGGTAAAACTTTAACAGGAGGCACCTAGGTGGTGCAGACCAGATTGATAATTTAGCACAAACTATTAAGACACCTATGACTCTGATATAAGAAGTCAGCAAAAGATGGGAATTATATGCATATTATTCATGTATCCAAAAGTAAAGAGTGTTGTCTTCGAGAGACTAAATCTTAGTAATTCTATGATCCTCTAACTTCTGTCAATATCCCTATTGCTCATCTTTGCAAAGCAGAGTCCCAATTGGGAGTCCCTTTTTTCTTTTTTCTGCTTCAGTATCACCAAATCAACAGAAGAATCTTCACGCTCTCTGGCATAGCCCGGTGCAGAAAAAACCATGGTAAAGAGGGTTGTCCAGCTCACTTGCAACTTCACAATGCATTGAAATGGATGATTAGTTGTCTCTTCGTTTCTGAGGCATGGTAAACAGTAGTTTTGCAAAATAATGTTCCTTGCCTGTAAAGTGCTGGGTTAGTTTGAACACTAGTCGTTTTTGCTGTTGAAAACATATTTAATCTAATTCTTCCTCAGTTCTCAACAAGAGGTTTAGGTCTTCCTATGGGTTATTCCTTCCATTCTATCAGATTGTCAGTTTTCTCCAATCTAGTTCTCTGCTTCTTCTTACTGCTCCCATCTTTACTTCAATCTTTCTCTTTCTTTCTGCTGGTACTACACTTATCTGTGTAGTTTTTTGAAAGTTGAATTTAGCAATACCAAGAAAACTCAGACGAGAAGGGTATGGTAGCAAAAACTTCATGGTTCTTAAGATCACTTAGTGCTTGCTGTTACTCACAACAAATCATATTATTTCATTTCTGACCAAGAAATAAAAAAAAAATGTAAGGAAGCATAGCTCAGGAGATTTCCTTTTGCATATTGGATTGCACAACTATTTGCACAGGTATGAGCCCGGTGTATCCGATCTTGCCATTTCATTTTATTCCTCCTTTTTCTCATCTACAAGGAGCCAGGGCTGAAAACAGACCAAGAGATAATCTCTGCTCGCCCAAAATTTAATTATGTGACAATCCCAAAAATCCTTAAAACTTGTCCAGTTACTCTTTCAAACCACTTCACCAATCTTGCCACTCAATCAAAAAAGAATTATCGATTCAGCAGTTATGCTAAGATGGACTCTACAAGTAAATTGAAAACAGCCCGTTTCATTTCGCTATTATGTTATGTAGTAGAACAAGTACTTTAACTTGAAAAATATGACATTCTGCAAGAACTCAAAAGAATCATCCACGCCAAAATTCATAATCCAGTAAAATACTGTTATCATACATAAACATAAAAACCAGAGAAAACTGAAGATGGGTTCTGGAATTCAGTCCCACCTGTTGACGGTTGGCAGCCATTGAAGCGGAAGAAGACCTCATGTTGGCCTTGTTGGGTAAGAGTGCCAAATGTTAGCTCCAAAACCAGAAAAATGCATATCTATCCAGCAGGAGATACAGAGAAGCAGCAATATGATGGGACGGTTGAATAGGAGAAAGCCAAATGAGGAAGACAAAACTTCCCCATTTGCAGTAAGCTAGACGTTGTGGGAAAATCCGCCATTTCTTCTAGGAAGTCTTGAACTCTCTGTTTTCGCTTTGGTATCATCGAACGCCGAATATGGCATAAACAAACGCCTCGCGTGTTTTTTTTTTTTTTTTTTTTCCTACGAGGGGTGTCCAGGTCAATTCTTACGGGGCCCGACTAATCCCCTGCGGTCCAGGAGAGGAGGCCCCACTCCACACCGAACACGTTAACAGCGGGACTCGAACCCTGAACAAGCCAAGAAGGTCGCCATACCCTAAGGAGGGGGAGCGGACCGTTCGAGCTACCCCGTGAGGGCAAAGACCAGCCACGTAAGGTGGCAAGTTGTGGTAGGCAGAGGTTGAACCCCTGACCTCCAGCATCCCAAAGAAAGGGATGACCACTGGACCAAATGGCCAGTAGACTCGTGTTTTAAGTATTCCAGTCTGTCCACCATTTATTTAGTTTAGTTTTTTAACGTGGTTTGGCTGCATGTCTTATATATTCCCGCAGTCCCATTTTAATATTCCTAATTTATTTTACATAATTTAAAAAAAAGTTAATTTTATTAAAAAAATAAATTTATGTTGCTATTTTTCTAAAGTACTTTTACATTAAATACAGTATAACTTTATATTAATTATTCATAAAAACTTGAATTAATAGTTTATGAAAACTTGAATTGATGGTCAAGAAAGAATCAATTCTCATTCATATATCAATATGCTTTGGAAAATCTAAATGTTTTAAATGAGATAGGTTATATCTAATAACAATATATATTAAATAAGTTAGTTTATACTAATAACAACTTATATTGAATAAGAATATTTTAGAAAAATTAAAAAATAACTACATTTTTCAATTAGAAAGTAAACTACAATTTGAGACAGACGAAAAAGGAAAACAGAATTATCAAAATGGGATGAAAGGTGTAATTAATAAAGAGGGTACAATTTGGATTATTCGTTGGAAAGAAAAATTAAGTAATGTGTGCATCGTGGCTTTGGTCTAAGGGCATCTACAATGAAGTGTAATAAAGGGCACCCTTTATGACACCTATGCATTGTACTCGCTCCTATACTGGGAGTACAATTTTTTTTTTTTATCACAACAATAACATTCATATAATATAATCTATCATATTCTACAAGAAAGAGAGTCAAAATAAAATGTATAAGGGGCGAGCAGACCCGACTAAATTAAAGAGGTGCTCTATCACCTTCTTTAAATTTTTTCACAGCAGGTGGATTCGAACCTGCGACCTACAATCCAAAGAATGATTTAATCCTTTTTTTGTGGCCATTAAGCCAAAACTCGGTGGTTATAGTGGGAGTATAATCAATGTTGTTAAACTCGACCTGAATACTAATTCGACTAAACTATTAAATCAGAGTTTAATTGGTTGGATCGGTCAGACCGTTCTCAAAAAATTGTTGACGTCAGTATGATTGCATAATTATTTTATATTGCATAAGTTCCAAAAATATTGAAATTGAATTATTGATTATATTTTGGTCAATCATACAAAATGTTCCAAAAATATTAGGCTTGCAATCAAATATACATCTAAAAATTATATATAAAAATGTGAATTCATGTCTAATATATGTCTATTCTCCAAAACCATTTGAAAAACTAAATTAGAATAAATCATAGTCAATTTGAGATCTTTTTATTGGAAATATTGCTTTCTAATGCAAGCTGGAATCACTAAAGATAAATTGATAAAATGATAGGGATGAAGACTTTTTGGTTTAGAGATCATTTAGTGGTGTGAGTGATTTTGGTATTTATACTATGGATGGCATTTTTTAATTCTATTAATAAATGAATATTTTACAATTTAGGTAACTCACATTATGTTTGGAAAAAACAAGAAAGAAAAGCTTGTAAACTGAGTCAAGCAGTCAAACTGGGTCATTGAACTGGTCAATGTTTTACTGTTTTGACTGATTTTTATCAAAATGGTTTTATACCACTAACCAACTCGAAAAGAAAGTCGATTCATAGTCAGACTGTTCAAATCAATGGGTTCAATCTGAGTCTAACAACACTCATATAATGCATACTACACACATAATTGAAGCACAAAGCTGAAAAAAGTGAGTCCCATTTATCCAATTATTCAATACTTTGCAACGATCACATTTTGTTGTTCAATTATTCAAAATTTTGCAACAGTCTCCTGAATATAATTCTCAACATGTTTACAATGGTAAAATAATGGCAGCATTGTTTCAATTTCACCAGTTTGCAATTGTATTTTTTTTTCACTTTCAATCCTCAAAATTTTGTCTATAAATATTGTTGGGTATTTCTTTAATAATTGCTTAATTATTTTTAGAAAATAACAATGAATTTATTTTTGAGAGCCATAAAAATATATATTATTTTTCAAAAATTAATAAAATTATTTTTTTTAGAAAGTAAAAAAATTTTCAATGGAAAATTTTCAATGAAAGTCAATAAATTATATTTGAACAATAATGAAATTATTTTTTAGAAAATAAATTTATTTGTATTTATGGGATTTGTATTGAGAATTATTAAAATAAATGTGTGATTTGATTGTTGGTCCATGCTATTATACTGTGATGTAGAGAGTAATTTATAGTGAGTGATAGCGTAATAGAAAAAGGGATAATAAAGTGATAATACGGCATATGAATTATCTTCTTCAGAATATAATCCATTGTAGATGCCCTAATGGTTAAGAAAGGAAAAAAATTGAAAAAAAAAAGTAATGCGTGTACTAATGGTTGAGTCATGTGTAGGGCTTCAAGCACGTCCCATAGATTATGAGGTTTGCCGAGCCAAATTTGACTTAATTTTACCATATATAGAACTCGAGTTCGAAATTGATATAGCTTTCAGTATAACTATTAACTCAAGTTCAAATCTAGGTGAGTTAAAGTTTGAGCCTTACCGAGCTCAAATAAATGTAAAAATAAATTCATATATATGTATAGGACAAATTATCCATTTAACTCTTGAACTTTTAGTTTGGGTAAAATTAAGCTCTCTAACTATTTGTAATCAACTTTTAACCCTCAAACTTGTAAAATTAGGAACTCATGGCCCTTTTGACTAGTTTATTCAGTTTTGCAACTACCAGAAAATCAAATCACACGAATAGTAATATACTTTAAAGAAGGGCCTTTTTGTTCGCATAGAAATGAGCAAAAAGTGAACAACTCCATCTTCTTCCCTTTCCCTAACCTAAATCTCTAATAGATCTCAATAGACGAATTGCAGAGGGAATGGAGAGAAGTGTGTAGAGAAACAAGCAAAAATGTGTAAATATCACAGCTCTTCGCTTCCTATTTGTCCTTGCAATAAAGTCATAAAGATGATTACTTCGTGGACTGATAGAAACCCAGAGAGAAGATACGCTGTTTACTCAGAAGAAGTTGGTGGTTGTGAGTATTGGGATTGGATTAACGAAAAGATGTGCTGCCATTCCATTGAGTTGATACGCGGCCTTCTAAGGAAGATCAATGCAACAGAAAAGCAAAAAAGAGATATTTGAAACTGCAGCATTAAGATCTGAGGCAAAAGCTGCTAAGTTGAAGTCAAATTTAAGAGAAACATAAGAGCAGCTATGATGGCAGAAATGGTTGAATAAGTTTTTTATAAGGGTACTTGTTATGAGTTAATTGTTTGCTATAATAATGCTGCTTACAGAGAAAAAAAAAGGTGGAGTCTCTGTTGGGATACTGCAAATTGGGGGTAAATGTAATGGGATGATGCGAATTGAAAGTGATACATTAAGGGCAGTGTGTAACTGCGATTTGTAGCTATCAATATTGCTAGTTTTAAGGAAAATGGAAGAAGCAAATAGATGTATCGTGTATGATGCAGAGGGTTAGGGAGAAGTGTATTGCATTCTTTAATTTTACAAGTCTTTGTAGCATGTTGGATTAGTGTAAAAGTGTGGTGGAACCCAATCAATGATAACTACAATTTTCTCCATGTAATGTGATGAGAATTATTTATCCCAATTCCCATGTCATGCGTTTTGTTGGATGTATTTGATTTTAGTACTCAACAAAAAACTGCTATATCAAACCATACAAATGTAAGATAACAACTGCATAACATTAGAATATAATTAGCAAAAAAAAAATTACAATGATCTTTATCTGTAAATACATAGAATAATCACTTTCATAGGAAACAGACAAATGCCCAAAAGGCAGTGATCTTTGTTTGTATTGTTAGATACCAAGCACAGATACATATTTCATTCCCTACAAAAGACTAATAAAAAAATCTTCTAATCTAGCAATGTTTCTAGTTACATCCATTTACAATCAATAAAATTATCACAAAAATAACAGGTCTTCCACTTTGCTAGGCCTGGTGACAAAAGATGATGCAATTTATCAAGAACTTGTTCCAGATCCAATAGATCTTCTCTTTCCTCTTCCCCTTCCCCTGTCGCTTCTTCTTCCTCGATCTCTTCCCTGCCAATTTCCAACATTAAAAGGTGGATCTTTACCCAAGTAAGTATAGTTGAGATCAATAAAATCTTTGTCTGCATCAATCAATGGCCTTTTTGATGTACTTCGCTTCTGCCTATGAACTGGTGGCCTTGTGGTGGATTGTTGGGATTGAGGTTGATGTGTTGTCTACTGCTGAGTTTTTTGCTGCTTTCTTTGTCCTTGGTTGTTGCTTACCTACACATTAAGGAAAAAATTTCAGATCACAAAAAAATTTCAGAGAAAAGAAAGTTACCATGAAATCCAAACTCACACATTGTCTTTTTGTTAGAGCATGCTGTTGCTGCGGATTACATGGTTGTTCAATAGGTGCTGGTTGTTGAGAAGGTTGTTGTATACTAGATGACTTGGAAGGATTCTTGCAAGTCGCAACATTATATCCAATCCCTCCACAATTTCTATAATGGATTACAATCCTCCTTCACAATCTTTTGCCATGATCTTTTTCTTTTGTAACATCTCTCCTCCTAGCTTTCTTTGGTCTGCCAGGTTGAGTGACACTTGCTGATGGGTCCAACTCCAGCATATCTGACTGTGGCCATTGAATGTTTCCATTAATAGGCTGCAAC